TGCTGATTTTATTAATAAAATACATTCCTTGCATAATTGCATGGATCATACATATAGCCTCTTCTTTACATTTAATCTATTTTGATTCAACATTAACTTTTACATTCTAAAAACAAAAAGACAACACATAAATGAATAAAATAAAAATGATTAAATAGTAAAAAAAAGCATATATAATGCTTGTAAAAGTTTTTTTGTTTTTGTTTTTTGCTTTTTTTTATTGTCTAAAGTAGGGGTGTCGAACTCAATCAGAGAAGGGGCCAAAATCTAAAATCCAGCCTAAATCGCGGGCCGAATGGTTTACTGAACAGTCATAAACTGTCATTGTGATGGAAACGCAGCGGAGTGCAGTGATGACAGCGCGGTGCGGGCCACATTGCAAGGCCTGGCGGGACGGATTTGGCCCGAGGGCCTTGTGTTTGACACATGTGGTCTAAAGTTTTACATATGTCTCCTTTTCCCCAATTGACCCTTCCCCCCAGCCATTCCCACCCCAGGCAAGCCCCTCCTGTCCCAGTGTCTGTGTCTATTGGTTATGCTAATATGCATGCATACAAGTCCTTTGGTTGCTCTCTAACCACCTCCCCTACCATTTGTCTCTAGATTAATCTATTCTTGTTTATCAAATTATGTTGATCATTATATCCCACATGTAATATTTATCTTTCTCTGACTAGATTATTTTGCTTAGCATAATGTTCTCCAGTTCCTTCCACATTGTTGCAAATGTTAAAAGTTCCTTCTTTTCTACAGCGGCATAATATTCCATTGTGTTCTTTGTACCACAGTTTTTTAATCCACTCACCTGCTCATGGGCACTTGGGCTGTTTCCAAATCTTAGCTATGATAAATTGTGCTGCTATGAACATGGGGGTGCACATATCCTTTCTGATCGATGTTTCTGGTGTCTTGGGATATAGTCCTCGGACTGGGATCACTGGGTCAAATGGGAGTTCCATTTTTAACGTTTTGAGGAAACTCCATACTGTTCTCCACAGTGGCTGCACCAGTCTGCATTCCCACCAGCAGTGCAGGAGGGTTCCTTTTTCTCCACATCCTCGCCAGCACTTGTTTGTTGATTTTGGGTACTCTTTTGCAATAATTGACTTGCATGTTCAAGAGACCAGCCCAAAATGATCTAGAACCTGTAAGTTCTTATTTTCCTGGTAGTTTGTTAGTCCTACCTGTGAAAATGTCCACTCTCTCCTTGTCCATTAGTGACCAAAGGAAAAGGCTCACCTATGCATGATCAGAACATCATTCTGGAAACATAGCTTAACAGAGGTTTATTACCACCAGCTGTTGTAATAATCTTATCCAACACATAGAAACCCTGTGCAAATAAGTAACTATATGAACCCAACTTATAAAGTTCAAAAGGGTACCCAAAATCATATAAATGATATAAACAGAACCACATAAAAATAAAATTGGAGTAATTACCAGAGGAACTGCCTTGCATGTCTTACTGCTCAAACCTTTGGAGTGTTAGAACTGGGCACAATAACCTTTGGACTGGGTCAAACCACCACTGCATTCCAAACAAGTTTGTTAAACTAACAGAAACGCCATCTTAGTTCTTCGGTTCCAAAATCATGCCAATCAAAAACTGGACACTCCCTAGAATTTTCATTCCCAGAGACATGCTTTTTGGCCTTTGTTCTTTGTACAGCCGTTACCCTCTGCCTGGACACTCCCTCTCCTGAGTCGTTAACTCCTGCTCAACGCTCAGGTCTCTCTTTAGTTTTTATATTAAAATAAGTAATTTCCTCTGCAAGCCCGACAAATCTGATTGATCTCCTAAACTTGGATTACATGGCCCTCCTGCTTCTCCATGTGATCTCATAGCATCCTGCACTTATCCTTATTGCTTCTTTTCTGTTTCCCTCCCTAGAATGCAAATTCCCTGAAGACCTCGCTGAGTGCCTAGCACATAGATGATCAGTAAAGATGTAGAATGGAGTAACCAGACCCTTTTCTAGAGTCACCCAGAACAATTCGAGGCATCCCTCCTTTCTTCACCTCAGTATTAGCGATACCCATAGAGTCTCTCTTCACAATTATGGCTCATCACGCCCCTGGCCCCCGGGAGGCTGTTCTCAGGTGCAGAGCCCGGGATGGGCTGCCCTAAGCTGTGAGTGCCTGCATTAAGCCTTCTTGCCAGTAGGTGGCAACTGAAGCCTGCAAGCTGAACACGGCCTCTGCTCCCTCCCTCCTTCCCTCCCTCCCTCCCTTTCTGAGCCGCTTGGAGAGGATGCTCTGGTGGGGATCTGGCTCTTGGCTTCCGGGCTGCTGTTCCTTCTTGCCTGTCTGGAAGCAGCCATTGCCTAGACTTCTCCTTTGTCTTAGATTCTAATTTGGTTCAAGTACGTATGTTCCAACTAGAGCTGAAAACTAGGTGGGCTCTGAGAGCTGTTAAAAACATTTTTAGAGCGTGCATGTTCTTAGTCACTCTCCATAGTCTTCCTGAGTGTCCTTGTGGATGATGCTGAGTTCCATGTCAGGGAGGTAGCCTGGGTCCCCTCTGAGTTCCTCTGGAAGCCCAAGGGCTGGAACTGGAGAAAGTTATTTTTGTTTTAAAGCACTATGGAACACCACCAGTAGAGAATGACTGTGGGTGTTTGGGAGGAAACTTATTGAGGCACGGCAAGTATCACGTTAATCTCGTCCGAGAGCTATTTTTAAATGAGCTTTGAGGCTGTTTGTTTGATCATGTTACTGCTTTGGGTCTGAACTTGGTGGTGACAGTCTCACAAGAATGACATTGAGCTGCAGCAGTGTTGTTGTGGGGCAAGTGATCCTTAGGAGGCAAAGGAGAGGCTTCCAGTCTTGTCTGGAGGAGGATGAGGGACGGTTTCTTAAGGAGGGGACAGTCTGAGCTGTCTTGAAGGAGGAGGGGAGGGTTATTCTGTCTAGGCGGAAGAAACAATTTGAACAAAAAGAGAAGCACAAATCAGCCTCTTGTATTTCCAAATGCATCTAGCCTACCCCAAACTCTGCCTAGAATCCCCTCAGCCTCTTCATGCCACCTTGCCCAAGGACTTCCTGGGAACCCTGGCCTCTTCTGGGTGACTCACCTGCACATTTACCCTCTTGTGCCCAAGAGTGGCCGCCGTGTCCTTGAGCACCTGGGCCTCTCTGCCTCCTCAGGCGCTGCTAGCAGCCAGTGGAGTTCAGCTTGAATCCCATGTACCTGGGAAAGGCCCTCAGCCGGGGTTTCAAGATGTTACCGGTGAGCTCCTTATCCTCCCTGCTCTGCTCTGGCTTTCAGCTTCCGTGAGCCAGGCCACTCAGCAGATCTCTTCTCGTAGGGGAATGAAGTGTGTGCCTTGAACTTCTCCTCCAGGCTGGAACAACAAGGACCTGGGAAAAGAGTGATTTGGGATTCTGGGACAGTTGTAAGAAAAGCTCACATTTTGCTGATGCCCTGGGCAATGAGCAGGGCAAAGGCTACATGTGGGCACCAGGAATACGTACCCCAGGAAAGGAGAGTGGAAGTTAAATGAAGAAGATGAGTGGCGAGCTTCTTGGAGAGAGAGATTAATCTGCTCCCAGGAAGGGTGTTAGACTGAGGTTATTATTGTAAATTCTGGAGGAAATGCTTGGGTTGGGACTATCCTTGTGGAGCCGCAGGTGGAGACCCAGGCTCTTTCCGGCCTGATAAGCGCTCCCTACCAACTCCCAGGCCTTGGTGTGGTGGTTCTGTGACATTGGACTCGTAACACTGTCATGCCAGGAGGCACTAGCGGGAAGTTCTGGAAACGGCAGGAATTCTGGAGGAGAACTGAAGGAGAGGCTTTTAGACCCGGAAGAAACCTCAGGGCCCATCGAGTTCACTCCTGTCTTCACAATGGAGGAAACGGGTGGAAAATTACTTGCTTCCTCAAGGCCACACTGAGTCAGCGGCAGAGTTGAGTCCATATAAAACACTGTTGCTATGGTTCTTACAACTTCGGTCGTACCAGAGGATTTCTCATATACTCCACCACCCCATGTTAGTTCCTTATTGTGGGGTATGAGTAAGCAAGGACTCTGTACATTTGCCCGCGATGGAAAGCTGTCCACGCTCTGCTGGAACCATGCCACTGTGGTAGGCAGTTAAACAAACAGCAAGGACGACAGGCCAGGTTCAGAAGGTCACCAGGGTGGAATGGGCAAAACTGGGGAAATAAGGACTTCCCCCCCACAGTAAGCTTTCCTCCCCTCGCACATTGTTGGTCATGTTGGTTAGACCTCCTTAGAGGGGGAACGAGCAAGGGGGCTGGAGAATAGCCCTTACACGTGAAGTCCTCAAGACAACGAGGTTCTGACCCCAATCAAATACATCGAGGCCTCATTTGTGTTTCAGCTGCAGGCCCAGAAAAGCAGCAAAACCAGACAAGCCATGGCTGACGTCAGGACCAGCTGTATTGATTAACCCCTTCCCTGATGTTGACCAATCAGTGAAGATCATGACCCTAAAAGGACACACCTGGAAAGCTGATGAATATTCTATTGAGATCTTCCCTAACATCCCACCCTGACAGCCTGTAGGACAGCAGACACTGTCTGTGGAGCACACCTGGGCCTGCGCCTTTCCCACCCCTCACTCCCTGTATGTCTTCCTTTCCTCTCTCCCCCAAGTTCCATGGGCCCTTCTTTGGCTTCTGTAACTTGTTTCCTGAGCCCATTCTTCTACAGCTCGCTCCTACCTCTGTGACTTTCTAAATAAATGTTCTCTTAAAAATTTGAGTCTTGGCTCTGCATTCTTTCTCAGGTAAAACTCAAGTACCGAGGTTGCTGAACCGAGATCTCATACCTGGCGCTGTTTTCCCCACTGACACCACCACCGACCTCCAAATGCCCTCAGCTCTCGGTTGGGCCTAAAGTTGCCTTTAACAGGAAGAACCAGACTCTGGTAGAAAGAACACGGGTCTGCTGCCAGCAGGATCTCAAACCCAGTGGAGAAATGAAATGAAAGGGCCCAGAGGGTCCTAAAATAAAGGAGACAACAGCCTTTGGAGGGTTTGTTGCAAACTGTTATAATTAAAGTGCGGAAGGCAGAGGGGTTCCGGGCAGGCCTCAGCTTCAGAGGCACAGTCCTGGAGGGGGATGGCACCTGCAGGGAACGTGAACTCAATCACTGCTGTTCGCTAGAGCTGCGGTGGAGTCTTCTTATGCAGCCCGAGAGCAAAAGAAGGGAGAGCCAGCAAGCAGCTGCATTCGATCCCACATCTTGCTGCATTCCCACTGTGACGTCACCTCCCTGGAGCAGGCCTCAGGCCAAGCTGGGGCTGGGCACAGACCCTTCCTCCGCCCCAGCTGCCTGCCAGCTCAGGGCGGCCCAGCCATCCTCACCGTCATTCACCATAGACTTCCTTTTGCTGCCAAGAGGTTTTCCCCAATTTGTAGCTTAAAAGCACCAGCAGGAGAAAAAGCAAGGAATGTTCTTGTTAATATAAATCCACAGCAGAAATGAGTCAAGAACTGGGTGTTTCTCAGGGAATGTCCCGCATTCTTTATGCTTGGATGGGTAGTGCAGTTGAAGGTGCCAAACATCTGAGTGTTTAGGACTACTTCATGTTTTTGAGAAGCAATAGGGAGGGTCACTGGGCAGAATCGGAGCCCAGAATCAGGGAAGGAAGGAGAGGGGAAACGGGTTGAATCCTGACATCATTCCCAAAGGAAGGCAGCACTACTTCCAGCAGCAGCAGCAGGAAGGCCTGTGCCAGGCTCTGCTTGAGCGGCAGGGTAGTGGGGTAAGGAGGCGGCCCCTCTGGCTGCTTTGGGTTACTGTTTGGGCAAAGCAAAGTCCCAGGCGGTGTCCTGTGCACACTTCCACATGGCCTGCACCAGGCGGGTGAAGCCCATGTCTTTGGGCTTCTCCAGGCCTCTCATCAACCGCTGCTTCATGATGGAAACAAACTCCTTATTGCTCAGCTCCCCGTTGCCTAGAGGAAGAGGCAAACACAACAGGCGTAATAGGAGGCCTTGGAACAAAGACAGAAATCCCATTGTTCACAATGTGAGTTGTAAAACCCAGGACTGTCACAGCCAAATTCCATTCTATTGACCTGAAATGAACTGTTTTGTTTGTGATGTTTCTGGCTGCATGCAGCTGTGACAGGTTAGTGTGACAGAAGTTAAATGTCAGGTCCTATGCTACATGGTGTGAATAAGGTAAGGTGACCAGACATCCCGCTTTTCAACAATTTGTCCCGCGTCACCAATCGAGATTGTTTTAAAACGCCATGGGACTCGGGACAAATTGTTGAAAATCGGGAATGTCCTGCCAAAAGCGGGACGTCTGGTCACCTTAGAAGCAGGAGACAAATAAACCTTTGTCCCTTGAAATACTCAGAGGTTGTGGGAGAGACAAACACAGGATCTCAGCTGCGTGGTAAATGCCATAATGGGGTAAAGGATGCTTTAGGGGCAAAGAGGGAGACTCTCCAACCCAAGCTGGAGGTGGTACAACTACAAATCAGCAAAGCTTTCTTGGTGGAGACTCTTAAGTTGAATCCCAAAAGATTAACAGGAATTGGCCAAGTAAAGGAGAGTGAGAGGGAAAGCATTTCAGGTATGGTAATAGCATCAGCAAAGGCACAGCAGGGAGCAGCAAGCTGATGGAGCTCCTGGTAGGTGTTGCTGGACTTTCAGGGCAAGCAAACTAAAGAGGCGGGCAGGAGACAGGCCCCCACGGATCTTGTATTTTCATTAAAGGGTTTGCACTTTATCTTCTGTGTGGTAGAGCGCCAGGAAAGGACTGGAAGCAGGGGCGTGGAGTGCAGTTAGATTTCCATTTGGAGGGGTTTTTCTGGCTGAATATATGGGACGGGACCAGAGAGGGCACAACTGGAGTATAGAGTCATTTAGGAGATTGTTACCATACTCCAGATGAGAGATGAGGGTTGTTCGTGGTGAAAACCAAAATCACCATCTGGCTTTGGGTTGAGCCCATTTTCTCAAGGATTTCCATCTACCCTCTCCTATGGCAGACGCTCAGGTCTGGAAGAGAACTTGGAGAGCATCTGGTTTCACCAAAGGTCACCTCTCAAGTCACACGGAACAGTAACCACTCCTACAGTAGGAGGCAGTTACCCTTTGACTAGATGCCCAGGACTAAATGTCTACCTTACTGGGGGTGATGAAGCAACAGGAAACCAGTGAACAGACCTCTCTACTAGTGACCGGTCTGGGAAGAGAGTGCAAAGAGGGACTAAATGGTTTACTTTTGTACAGAGTACCTGAACACCTGAACAGCCTGTTTGTGGCTGAAGAGAGCATGGACAACCACAGAGACACCCAGAGATACCTCACAGCAAGATTAGACAGACAAAAACAGGCAAACTAGTCTAAGGTGCTGTAAGCCAGGAGAGTGGCTGCCCCTGGGAGTGGAAGTGACTGGAAGGCAGCAGCCTCTGTGGTCCAAGTATGTGATGTATCTGGACAATGTTACATAGGTATGTTCAGCTTTTAAAAATTCATCTATCTGCCCGGCAGGTGTGGCTCAGTGGCTGATGGTCATGATTTGATTCCAGTACCAGTACCATGATTTGATTGCAGTACCAGATGGTCATGATTTGATTCCAGAGCAGGACACACGCCCAGGTTTCAGGCTCATCTCCAGTAGGAGGTATGCAGGAGGCAGCTGACCAAGGATTTTCTCTCATCATTGATGTTTTTATCTCTCCCCCTCCTTTCCTCTCTGAGATCAATAAAAATATATTATAAAAAATCTTTGGACAGTTTATCTCTCTATAGTAATGCTATTCACTAGAACTCTCTTCAATGAGGTTCAATGTTTTTTAAATCAGAGCTATTCAATACAGTAGCCACTGGCCACCTGTGGCTACTAAGCACTTGAAATGTAGCTAACGAGACCGGAAAAACAGTTTTAGAGTGCATTCGATTTTAATTAATTTAAATTAAATAGCCATATGTAACTAGTGGTATCATACTGGACAGCGCTAGCTAGAGGACAGGCCATTTCCCTGTCCTAGCTCTGGGACTTCCTTTGTTGTGATTGCCAGTGGTAGATTTAAATAACTTGAGCTCAACTTAATAACAAATAAGTTAATGAGATGATGTGTAGAGTACTATGTGAAGTCCTGCATATGTGGGGTTTCTAAAGGTGAACAGCACTTGTAATTAACCTTAAAAGTTCACAATTTAGTAGGGAAGCAAGGCCACATATAGAGAGATAGAGTGTAACATGTAGTAACATGGATAAATTGAGTCAAGTTAAAGATGAAAAAAAAAAAAGATTTTCATTTTGCTGGGACCACAACAGAAGATTTCACATAGGCAGATGCTCCTGGGCTGATTCTTGAATTCCTGTAGCTTTGCTTCCTGAAGGAAGACGAACAATGAACCTTGGCTAGGAGACCAGCAATGGAGGGGAGACAGGATAGAGGGGGCATCACTGAGCTCTGACTAGGATCCTGGTTTTGCTGTCTGCTATTACCTTTGTGATCCTGGGAAAGTTACCCAACCTACCTGAGTCTCTCAGCTTCCTGGCCTGTAAAATGTGGTTAGTAACAATCCCATGTCAGAGGATTAAATGAGCAGCTTAGCGCAGTAAGCATGGAAAAAGTGTGAGCCTCCATTGTGAATATTGGTAGCATTATTGTGTCAACTAACAGAGCTGAGAATGCTAGTGCAGAAGCGGAATCTATTAAAGGACTTCCTACAGAGTGGTCACAGACACCCAGATGGCTGCAGGCTGGGCGCCAGGATGGAGTGCGGATGACTGGAATGCCCTGGGAGGTGGAGACACAGCATCATCTCCCTAGACATTCAGGTCCTCGATGCTCTCAATCTACTAAGCAGCAAGCTGGTCCAATACTTTCGTTTCTATTTTTTTTTTAAGCTTTTATATTTAAGTTTATTCTTTATTTAGCTTTTAAAAACACTTCTACAGTTGAATTGTTTCCATTTTTAAGGTTCTAATGGTCATAGGTAATTTAGAACTATTGCAAATTGGACTTTCAGGAAGAACTGGAAAACAGAAATCAGGACCAGAGGCTGTATTTCTCAGTGTCATGATGCTGAGGGCTGAACTACTGATGTGGGGAAGGGGCAGGCTAAGGAGGTGTGGGCTACTGCCTGCAGCTGTCTGCAAGGCTCCATTCCGAACTGTGTCCCCTCCAAGGGCAGTCCGCTGAGTCCTTCCGCCCGACTCCAGAGGGCCCCACTCACCGTCACAGTCAAAGAGCGCAAACACCACATCACACACGTGGTCTGAGAGCTCCACTTTAGCCACTGTCCTGGCCACCTGCTGCATGGTCACTGAGGAAGAAAGGAAGATGCTAAATTAGCACAGCAGAGGGACTTGCATTTGCTTTCTCTAAATGAAGTGGATAAAACTACTCAGTCATAATAAAGAGTTTTCAACTGTATTTAAGAAAATGATAATTTAGTTTTTAATCCAGAACACGATAACAAAAGTAAAGAAAATACCTGGTAGCAAAAAGAAGGGGAGGTGGGGACTGAGGAGGCTCTCCCTTCGGTTCCTGACTGACAGCAAGGACCTGCATGGATGAGCTCCTGGCCCCTCCTCCCTCCCCACAGGAGTCTCGTCCTTTCTAACTCACACCTGGGGAGAAGGGGTGGCCTATCTCACTAGTTCAGGGTGTAACCTTTTTTGTTTTTGTCTTTTTCCGATCTCCAAAAAATCTTTCTTTCATGCCATTTTCTCGTTTTCTGACGTTTACTGTTAAACACTAGCAATCACGTGAGAAGTGTGTTCTTATGAAAAACAAGCCAGGAAGGACTAGGCAGTTTCCACTGCCTTTTATCCCATTTATCGAGATCTACCTACATCTATAAATCTTATATATTCATTAACTATGCTATTGCTTCTAGACATACTCCTAAGTGAGGTAAAACATGGAGGAAAGGAAAGAATTAATTTATACTTACCCAGAAGCAATGTGAACTTACACTAGGGTCGTGTGCCTTCTCTGCCTGTGTAATCCCTGTAGCTTCAGAGAAGCCACTTGTTCCTGCATTTGCTCTTTCCCTTCACCTCTGTCACCTCCGCTATTCAGTGCAGGTACAAAAGCCAGAGCAATGCTGAGGAGCGGGGATGCAGGGGGAAGGCTGGGCTTGAAGTCACAAGACCTGAGCTCCAGTCCTGGCTCCACCACCAGCACTCTGTGTGAATGGAGGAGCTTAACCTTTTTAGATTTAGTTTTTTCATCCAAATGAGGGAATGTCACAAGATAACTGCTGAGGTGGTTTAGTGTGCAAATAGAGTTCATTGGTGTTTTCTAGGATCTGAGGGTAGGCCGGGGTGGAGGTATGCAGATATAGCTGAGGATCTCTGTGGCAAAGGGTGAGGAAAGGTAATATTAGCCACAAGCCAGGCTGCACCTTCGTGTTCAAAGCCTCTGGCTTGCGCGCACTCGGCTGCTCAGGAGGGTGGGAAGCGCCAGCTTCTTCCTCCGTGCAGCTCGGGGTTACTATTCAGCCTGCCCTCTCTCTGATGTGAGTTAGGGTGGAGGAATCAATGCCCCTTGGAAAGAAAGGATTTAAGCAAAAAACCCTGTGGTGGTGGATGCCCATGGGCTGTGGTAACTGCTGAAAGGGGAGCTGGGCCCCTCACGCCTGCACAAGTTGCAGGGTTAGAAACAGCCTCTTGGGTCTAGACGTTCGATTTCGTCCGCTGGCCCAGGAAGCACGGGTTCCTGGTAACTCAGCTCGCTGCCCAGGGAAGGAACAGAAATCATAGGCCAGTGATAATGGGGAGAGTAACTAGATAGAGAACTAAAATGGTAACAGCTGGCTATTATACTGTACTTCTCAGGTGGAAACTAGACTCAGGAAATTCAGTTCGCCTCAGAAGACGGCGCAGTGAAAACACTGGATGCTCTCAAACTGTGATCGCCCCCATGGCTACAGAAATGTGTTCTGAGAAGTAGATCAAGACTTCTGTGTCCGTGTATTACATAAACACGAACGCTTTTTTTTTTTTTAAATCAATCTTTATTGTTCATATTGTTACAAAGGTTCCTCATTTCTTCCCCCCTCCACCAGGTTCCCACCCCACCCTCCGCCCCCTCCCCATCCCCCATTGTCCTCATTTATAGGTGGTTTATGTTCAGTCTCTTCCTCCCTCCCTTTCCCCGATAGTAAATCCCTTTTCAGATAGTAAATCAGTTACTTAGCATTTTCTCATATCAATAATACCACCACATGCCCAATGATACACTTCACACAAAAGACATTTCCAAATAGGTCAACCAGCCTCATCCAGGCCCCACCCAAGGCACTCACAGATCAACACCCCAGCCCTATACTAACTCAACACATCCAGATCTAAGCCTTCATCACTTGATTCAGCAGACCCTCAAGTTTTCACAAAAGTTTCCAGCCATGTCTGAGAGGCAGCCGTGGGGCAGGGGCAGGCGAGGAGCAAGCTGTTCCGGGCCTGGCTGCTCCGGGCCCGGCTGCCCCGGGCCCGGCCACTCTGAGTCTGGCTGCTCCCAGCCTGGATGCTCCGGGCTTGGCTACTGCTGTTCTGGACCTGGCTGCTCCCAACCCGGCTACTGCTGTTCTGGACCTGGCTGCTCCCTGGCTTCTCTGGGTCCGGCCACTCCGGGTCTGGGTATTCCTGGACTGGCCACCCTGGGCTTGGCTGCCTCCGCCTCAGGCCTGGCTGCCACTGCCCCAGGTCTGGCTGCTCCAGTGCTGGCTGTTGTTGCTCTGGTTCTGGCTGCTGCTGCTCTGGGGCCTGGCTGTTGCTGCTCCGGGCCCGGTTGCCATTGCTTTGTGCCTGGGCACTCTAGGCCTGGCCGCCGCTGTTCCAACATTCTGTCCTTTTTTTTTTTTAAACGCATTTATGTTGCAATGTTGGCTGGTGAGTTGAGTTCTGACTTAGTCTTTGATTTTTCAAGATCTTCTTTGTATTCTTTCTTAAGTAATTTTACTGTCTTTTGCTTTCACTTGATTTCTTCACATTGAGAACTTTGGTTTCTTCCTCCTTGTCCTGGGAGCTCAGCAGGTTGGCCTGTGGCACCCCTTTGTTCTCCGCTGGCTCACGTGCTGCTCCAGCCTGCTGCCAGGGTCGGCGCCGCCCAGGAAGCAGCCCCCGGCCTTGGCTCCGTTGCCTGCGCTCAGAGGTCCTTGGCTCCGTTGCCCGCGCTCAGAGGTCGATGGCTCGGGGGCACCCCCCCCCCCGCCCTGGGGGCCCCGTCGCCCGGCTCCCTGCCGGCGCCCGGCTGGCTGGTGCCCGGCTGGCTGGTGTCCGGCAGGGGCTCCTGCTCCCTGTCGCATTCCTCCAGTCTGGAGCTTTTTTTTTTTCTCCTTCCTGCTAGGGGAGTCTAGGATCAGAGTCAACGGACTGTCCTCTGTGCGCAGTGCGCGTGACTCTGGGGGCTCTGCTTTTCGCCACTCCCCTGGGATTCCGCCTCACAGCCCCGTCTCCCCCTGCCCGAGCCTGGGTCCCCAGGGTCTGGTCCAGGACTGGGGTTCAGAGCAGTCCGGACTGAGGCTCAGCGCCGCCGGAGGCTTTGTTTCTTCCAGCTAGTAGGGGTGTCGAACTCAATCAGAGAAGGGGCCAAAATCTAAAATCCAGCCTAAATCGCAGGCCGAATGGTTTACTGAACAGTCATAAACTGTCATTGTGATGGAAATGCAGCGGAGTGCAGTGATGACAGCGCGGTGCGGGCCACATTGCAAGGCCTGGCGGGACGGATTTGGCCCGCGGGCCTTGTGTTTGACACATGTGACTAGGGTAATCCAGCATCAGAGTCAACATTCAGTCCTCTGCGCGCAAAGTGCGCGCGACTCCGGGGGCCTTGCTTTTCGCTGTTCGCTTGGGATTCCGCCTCACAGCCCCGTCTCTCCCACCGGAGCCTGGGTTCCCAGGGTCTGGCTCATAACTGGGGGTCAGTGCTGCCGGTTCGGGGGTTCAGCCCAGGCTGGGGGTTTTATTTCCTTCCTGCTAGGGAACGCCAAGCAGCACCCAGCCCTCTCCTCCTCTTCGGCTGCGACCTCTCCGCGCGCGTGCATGCGAGCGTGCAGCATGTCTCTGTACCTTAGACTTTTTTTCAGCTCCTCTGATTTTCCTTCTGGTTTTCTCTTTCCTTCTTGTTGTAAAATTTTCAGTTAGTCGACTACCTGTAGCTCTGGGCGATGTCCACTCTACATTTTAGTTGTATTCCATTGAAATTGTTGTGTGCTGCTGCGGTTAGGTGTCTACCTGAGCAGCCATCTTGGATCCTCCCTCAACACGAACGCTTTTTGTTAACCATCCCTTTTTCTGCATTTCACATCAATCTCTCACTCTGTCATAACTAAGTATCCTTTTTCTCTTCCCCAGTTCCTCCATTCTCGAAGGGCAGAGTGCCTACTGCCGATTCCTCTTGGTATTGCGCATGCCCACCCTTCTGCCCATGAAGATGGGCCTTTCCTCTAAAAAACCGTGAACTAAAACAGTATCTAAGGATGTCAGTGCAAGCTCTTGAGAACTGTCAGTGAAAGCTCATGAAAGTATTACGTGGCTGTGGGAGAGGGACCTCTGGAGGCACCAGCAGGAAGGCCTCATCACAAACGCCATCCTGTGACAGTACAGCTACAGATTATCCTCCATCTCACATGGAGGGCTCCGACACCACGGTGCTGCAGGGGAAAGCCCAGGGCTGCTAAGGCATCGCAACCCGAAGCACTGGGAAGGTACCAGTCAGCAAATAGCCTGGGGGAGGTGCCTTCCACAGGCCCCAGGATATGAATCAGAGCACAGGAGGAAACAAACATTTAGCTAGCTGGTGAGCTGTCAAGCCGGGAGTGCTGGGGACAAGTGGGATGACAGCAGATTAGAGCCAAGCACTCGACAGCTGGTCCTGAGAGTTGGCTCATTCATATTTGCTTCCACATCCCTGAATAAATCACTAAGTCGTAATTAAATCACAGTAAGCAGAACTCCCCACCTTCCCCTGCAGAAGCGACTTCCCCATGCAGACCAGCTGTTGGTAGTGGAGTCTGATTGATGGCTGAAATTCCAGTTTCCAATCTCAAAGATGTGTACATGGAGCATGAAATCACCCCGGAGAAAGCTTAGGTTTCCAAGGCCTATGTACTCCTTTTGTACAAACTTGGCCCAGCTGCCTGAATAATAGATGGACATAAGATTGGTGATTTCTACTAGATTGGGACAGGGGAGAATTTGAAGAAGTGGGCTCAACTGGCACTAAAAAATGTGGTACCATCTGGCCTTCCAAAAAGTCCAAACAGAATCTGAGTAGTGCCAAGTTCCAAGTTACTCTCTGCCATGTTCCATGGCTGGA